ACTGTGTGGATCACAACAAGCTATGGCTGACTCTGAGAAGAATGGGAATCCCGAAACATTTGATCGTGCTAATGCACAACCTATACTGGGACCAAGAGGCAGTCATCAGAACAGAGCAGGGAGACACTGGATGGCTCAAAATCAAGAAAGGAGTCCGTCAGAGATGTATTTTGTCTCCATACCTTTTCAATCTGTATGCAGAACAGATCATCCGAGATGCTGGGCTGTACGAGGAGGAATGTGGCCTCAGGACTGGTGGAAGAATTGTCAACAACCTGCGTTATGCAGATGACAACCCTGCTTGCTGAATCTAAGGAGGACCTGAAACACTTGCTGCAGAAGGTCAAGGACTGCAGTCTTCAATATGGATTGAAGCTCAATATCATGAAACAAAGATTCTCACCACGGGGCCAACTGGCAGCATCAGTATGGATGGTGAAGAGAATGAGATAGTTAACAGTTTTAGTTTGCTTGGCTCCACAGTCAACACTCTTGGTAACAGCAGCCAGGAAATCAGGAGATGAATTGCATTGGAAAGTCAGCTGTGAGGGACCTCTCAAGAGTACTGAAGTGCAACGACGTCAGGATGGAGACTAAGATGCGCCTGATCCAGGCTATAGTCTTTGCAATTACGTGCTATGCATCGGAGAGTTGGACAGTGAATAGGGATGATAGAAAGAGAATTGATGCCTTTGAGTTGTGGTGCTAGAAAAGAGTGTTGAATATACCATGGACTGCTAGGAGAACAAACAGGTTTGTCCCAGAGAAGGTGAAGCCAGAATGTTCCCTGGAGTCAAGGATTCTGAAGCTTCATCTGACATACTTTGGGCATGTTGCAAGGAGGGACTGACTGGTCCTTGGAGAGGGACATCATGTTTGGGAGAGTGGAGGGACGGTGAAGGAGAGGAAGACCCTCGATGAGATGGATCGATTCTGTAAGTGGAGTGGTGGGAATGAATGTGTTTGAGACAGCAAGGTTGGCACAGGATAGAACGGTGTTTAGGGCTCTTGTACGTAGGGTCGCTATGAGTCATAAACGATTCGATGGCAAAAAACAACAACAACAGCGTCATGATGAGTAATACTCAACTTGACAGGACCTAACAACAACCACCTTTCTTATTTGAAAATGTCACTGCATATTCTATTTAAAAAGCTTTAGAATGTGTGTATGGTTTGACTCACACACTATACCTCTGGAATTTATTGTAGGTACATGAGTACTAAGAGAAGATGCTTATAGCAACTTGTTCCTAGAAACACATGCACATACACACATAAATATATGTTAATTTAGATGATTTTCAGTTAAAAAAAAAACCCATGTGTACATCATAGCTAAATATGCACTGCTTAAAGAAATGTACTTACCAACAGGACTGGAGAAAATGAAGCACAAAGGGTATGAAACTCTTCCATCATCATGTTGATATTTATAACTATACACAATGAAGGTTTTTCTCAAGTTAAAGAAACTAAAGTGATTGCTCTTTTTGAACCCCATACTCCCTGTTGAGTCAATGCTGACTTATGGTAATTCTAGGTGTAACAGAGCAGAACCACTGCACAGTTTTCTTGGCTACAACTTTGCCTGGAAGCATATTGCCAAGCCTGACCTGCATTTGAGCCAGGTACTTACCAACAACGTCCTAAGGGAAAATATACACCTAGGGTGTCACTGACTGGCAAATTTCTATCCTCTATCTTTAGACCACTTTTATTCACTAACTCACTATAGATAGCCATGATAATAATTTATCATAAAAGCACATAATCTCTCAAAAATTTATTAAAAGTATCATTCTACCAATACGAACTTTTTGCTCAAATTGTATTGTGCACTCATTGTATTAAAATAAATTTTTTAAAAGAAAATTTGTTACATGAATACAACAATAGTTCATTATGCACAGATATATTTTAATTTGTATAGAATTATAATGTAAAACGGTACTTAATAAAGCAAGTCATTTAAAAGTTAAATGAAACGCCTTTGAAAAGAAAATACTGGCCACTAAAGAAAACTTCTTTTTAGAGCACAAAAAAAAGGATATCGAGGTTGTCGTTCAGGTAACTCATCTTTAAGTTCATCAGGTGAAATGCCCTGGGAAGGTTAAAAAAAAAAAAAAAAAAGGAATTGCTACAAATTTTCTAACCCATACATAAATCCTTAAGGGGATACACTGAACACTTATTCCACTAATTCAGAGTTATAAATTGAGACCCACGTGCCATAAAGTAAAATTTTATTACCCTAAACTGCACATAAACAGAGGTTTCTAAATTCTCATATCAGCCAAAGCCCACTCCATTTATTTATTTCACTTACCACCTAAATAAAGAGTGAAGAGTAATCTATGTTAATGCGCCACTGTCAAGACACATTGAACAAGATAAGTTACCTCTTCAGACAAAGCAATAATATCTGATGTAGGATGAAAAAAATAACTTCCTTTTACTTTAAATGAATTAATTTGATGAACTAACTACTTAAGTTATGGGGTGTTAGTTTTAAACTGCTAGTCATCCAGTTTAGAAGCAAATTACAACACTGAGTCAGTGTTTATATGAATAAAACTCTCCCCTCTATACTAGATTACACTAATGCTTTAAAGAAGGTGGTTAAATTAGCAAGACAAGGCATTTTTACAATAGTACTTAGCAAATACTTTTCATGTGTAGTGGGTACTCAAATTAGGTTCAGAATTCATTTTAGAAGTAAATGTAACTAACAGCACCTTCTGAGCAATAACAATTATTTAACTATAAAATTATATTTAGCTGATTGAACAAACCTCAAGCTCTTCATCCAGTACCACCAGACGTTTATCCTTGTCAATCTTCACTACAACAAAAACATAAGTAAACTATAATTCTAATGTGAACCTGATATACTCATCCTAGTCTCAATCTAGTTTTTGGCTTTTTTAAATTTTTGTGTCCAAATTAAAACATCAAGAAGCAGGATCATAAAACTGATTAAAAGAAAAACTCAATACCAAACACACTGCTATTGGGTCATGTTTGGTTTACAGCCAACTCCATCAGGTTTCTGAGGCTACACATTTTTAAGGGAGGGGACTGTCCATCTTTTCTTCCTTAGAGCAGCTGGTAGACTGAAACTGCCAACTTTGTTTAGCAGCCTGACCTGGTAATTCATGGCCTACTAGCTAGCTTTGCTTTTCAAACAGTCAAGTTTTAAAATCCTTTACCAATATTTCACAACACTTAACTGTATTATTTGGAGACTCAGATGATGCAAACAGCACACAAAAGTAATAACTAAAGACTGGAGACTGTAGCCTACTCAGAGGGACCTCAGAATACAGGCTGGTCACTCTACGTCAAGAAAAATCAGCCGCTGGAACTCTAAGACACAGTTTATACTCTCACACACAAAGGGTTGCCATGAACTGGAATTAACATGACAGCAACTGGTTCATTAGCTTTTACTTCATTACTTAAGAGTTTAATGACAACGCCTTACATTTAATGTGCATATAAATGACTTTGCAGCTCAAATATAACGTCATAACAATAACACAAAGTCTGAAAGGGTGACTGCCATGAAGAGCACTCCCTGTGTACCATAGGGAACTCTGGACGGGTAGTCTGTAGGAACGCACTGCTAACCCAAAACCCTATCTCTCTGGTAGTTCACGCCAAGGAAGAAAGATGTTCAATCTCCTTTCAGGCAATTTACAGCCTTGGAAACTCAATGGAAGGTCAGGCATGAGTTGGTTCCAACTTGACAACAGTATTTTTTTTTAACATGCAACATGGTTTGAACTGCAAAGTAAAAATAAACCAGGTGTGAGGATAGAGAAATTGCCAGATTCTCAGCATCTCGAGCCAAGACTTCATGATGCAGTATCATTATTCTGAGAAAGTGAAATGCAGAAATAACTAGAATCAAATATATGTAACAAAACAATACTAAGTTAAGTCAAAATACTTTTTTGGATAGACTATGTAATTCTCAGGGAATGACTCTTAGCTTACTTATAATGGCAGCATTATTTGTTTCTTTGCGAAAACGAAACTTTCTCAGCTTTTCCACTAAATCTTCAGCAACATCACAAACCACCAAAGATTCACTCTGTAAAAGGGGGGAAAAAGTTATATATTAATAAAGGTACATGTAAAAAATTATAAAGCTTGAAACCCTTTCAAAAGATATAATGACATCTAAAAGCGTTAATTATGTGAAAGCGGTAAAGGGAATCAAGGCAGCACTTAAAAAGAGCTTTTCAGCCTATCAATCATTGGGTCTATATTAGTCAACTGTACACATTTATTCACCTTATATGTATACTTAAACTTTTTTTTTGGCTAAGAAATGACCCATAATAATAGACAATTTCATCATAAATGGAAAAGGAAAAGTCGAGGTCCACTGTCTAACATTTGAAATTAAAGCAGGTATATTTTTTGTTATACTATACTGGAAAAGGAAAATCACAGTATTTTACTTAGAATTAATATATTGGATCACTTTTAGAGGTCATAACTGTGGAAAAAATATACAAGTAACACAAGTATGAAAATTAAATTCCAAGATACCAATGAATGTAGGGTTTTATTAAACAACTGTTATTATAGTTGTTGACTGCCAATGAGTCGAGCACAACTCATATTGACCCTATGAACAAAAGGCCGGAAGCCTTTCTATAACTATCGTGGTTTCTCAAAGTTCACAGAGTTTCGAGAGGCATGTTGTTTAGGAAGTGGATACCACTCCTGCTTCCATTAAACAACTACGGGGATCAAAAAAAAAGGGGTATGAAGGCAACACCAAATAAAAATATAATGAAATATAGAAAATAGAATAGCTAAAGAATACTTTACAAATCATAAAGAAATACTAGAGATCTTCCTCAGAAATCTGTCAAATAAATTAACAAAATCACTTTTATTTTAGTAATGCAAATTTACTGCACAACTCCTGATGGTAAACAAAATAGAAGTCTCTTTTTTCAACATGTAAAATTTCATGTGGAAACCTATACAAAGGTAGAAAGTTTAGCACCGTGAACCCTATTATTCAACTTTAACTATTACAAAAAGCAAAACCCAAACTCTCTGTCATAGTCAGTTTCAACCCTTACTGACCCTATAGACAAAGCAGAAATGCCCTCGTAAGATTTCCAGGGCTGTTAATCTTTATGAAAGCAGAATGTCACAGCTTCTTTTCAAAGTAGCTGTTAGGTTTTGAACCACTAACCTAGCAGTTACCAGAAAGCAATTTACCTGTAGATATTTTAATAGGTATAAGCAAAATGATAGTATATTATTAAAAAGATAAATAAATAACACTGCTCCATTTAAAAAAGTAACAGTAACTTCAGTATCAAATATCCAAAGACTTTTCAAATCTTCCTCATGTTTCAAATTCTATGCAGTTGGTTTGATGAGTTAGCTCTAAATAAGAGTCACAAACTTTTATAAGTGAAACAACAACATAACCTTTATAAGTGCATAATTCCCTTCTTTCTTCAAGGCAATTACAAACACTTCTGAGGCCATTACTAAAAACATACTCATTAAAATGCAATATGGCTTCCAATTTTAAATTAAAATAAAAATTTAATAAGACCTTATGATTATGAGCCTGTGTCGGACACATGTGCATATAGGTGAAGACAGAAATGTTATCAACCTTAAATTGTCCCTTCAATTAAGAACAGAAGTTGAAATGGTGGACAGCACAGGGTAAGGCAGGATTCAGACCCATCGTTCATAATGTCACTGAGTCTCAGTCAATTGGAAGGCACTTAACAACATGCTCTTATACAAGCAGAAAGTTATTTTCCACCAATAAAAAGAACTCATTTCTACTGAGTGGAAACTTACAGCTGACCCTCTAGCAGGTTTTCAGAGGCTGTGAACCACAGAGGAGCGTGCCCGTTTTCCTTCCTCAAAGACACTGGTGGATTCAATCTGCCAGGGAGGTGCTGCCTTTGTGTTAACTGTGTAACCCCCTAGGGACTACATCACTAGAATTTCTAAGCCCACCAAGAGGAACTGCCAGTAAAATAGCATCCTAGTAGGAAATACATACTTCCCTTTTTTAGCTTTCTTTAGAGAAGAAATGATAAATCATATTCAGCTTCTTAAAGCTGGTATCCAACCTATTCCAATTTTCCCTACCTTTCATGAAAGAGAAATTAGAAGACTTAAATTTCCATTGTCTTCAACCAAAGGTAGTGTCCATTATTATAAAAAACAAATATTTTCTATTTCTGTTTATGCAAAGACCAAGATATCAGAAAAGTCCTATATTCCAAGCCCTGATACTTTTGCAATCTTATTATTCTGAGGACCATGTTGTTATATACAATCGAGATGACTACTCAAAGCAACCTTTAAACAATAGCTCTGAACCCTGCCCTATCCTGAGACAGTCTCACTATCAGACACACCTGTCCCAATTGTCAGTCTCCATGTCAATCCATCTTATCTAGGGTCTTCCTCTCCTGCACTGTCCCTCTACCCTTCCAATCAAGATGTCCTTCTCCAAGGACAGGTCCCATGTGACAACATGCCCCCAGTATGTGAAACAAAGTTTCTAAATCCTTGCCTCCAAGGAGCAAAGTGGTTTCACCCTCTCCAGGGCATATCTGTTTGTTCTCTTGGCAGTCCATGTTCAGTATTCTTTTTTAGTACCACAACTCAAAGGCATCAATTCTTCTTCTGTCATCCTTATTCGCTGTACAGCTCTCATATGCATAGCAAGGAACTGAGAAGACCATGGCCTTGATCAGGCACATCTAAGTCTCTAGACTGACACTATTGCTCTTTAGCACTGTGGAGAGGTCCCTGACAGCAGACTGTTAGCAGTTTTTTAGTTCTTGCACTTGTGTGCGGAATATATATTAGTTCTAAACTCCATCCTTTTCCCAGCACTCTGGTGTTTGCTCCCTAGCATATGTGGTTCTAGTAGCCATGATTTGACATCCACACACAACAGAAGGTTCCAGAAGATGGAGTGTTTTATGGTCTAAACATGATGGTCAGGTTCTGGAATGTTTAAGACAGTCCCTTTAGCCACGATGAACATTTCATTATTAAGTGCATCAAGTCTCAAATACTCAGGATACTGGGATAGCTCTTAAGTATCATACTCCGTATGAATATAAAAGAGAAAATGATCCATTTTCCCAAGAAACTTAATAATAACTTGTTTATTAGGGGTTAGACAAAGCCTGAAAACCTGACATGGGGGTGGAGTGAAATAAAGACTGCTTACTGATTATGAAGGCCCTTTCAGGGAAACATCCTCAGATATTGAAGGAACTAAGGTCAACAGTCATTTAAAGTTAAAGGCAAGAGGACCTGAGAAATTAAACAACTGAAAAGGAAACAAAACACAAACAGAACACTGACACACTATGGTAAATGAAATGAATGTCACCAAACAATCTTCATGGAATTGTCAGATGAGAGCCTAACATTGTGTAGTTTACCAAAAATTCAATAAAATCTTAATAATATAAGCAAGTCAAGCGAGAAGATATATTCCCTTCCCCTTTCTCTTTCATTTTCACTACTTCTACTATCATAGGAAGGCCAAAAATTCCTTCCTACAAGAAAAAGGACCCAACGTTTTGTAAGCCAATCCTAATAACTTACAGTTTAGTTGTAAGTTGTAGAGTTGTAAGCCAACTCTAATTGCTTGGAGTTTTGTCTAATTGCTAAGAATAATACCCAATGCCCTGAAAATAACTTTGTATACGAGGCAAATGTTAACATAAAATTAAAGTGGAGAACTGGGCCCAAGTATGCATTTATTGTTTATCCATACAAATAACATTTAATGAAGGTCATGTGCAATGCTAAGTGCTAGGAGTATAATCATATAAAAAGAAATAAATAAATGACATGGTTACTATATTCTGGGAGTTTCTATTATATTTTAGCAGAACACAGATGCATATTTTTAAAAAGTAAAATTGTGTTTGTGGAAAGGGCCCCAAGGAGAGAGACACCATGCTGGCTAAGAATTTATGACCAGGAAAGAATATTATGGTCAAAAAAGGTTTCCCTGAAAAAGCCATGCTCCTTGGAGGTAAAGATGATAAAGCTTCTCCTCATATACTCTGGGCATGCTGCTAGTAGAGGGTACTCCTTAGAGAGGGCCATCATGCTTGGAAAGATAGACTGACACAGTAACTTCAGCATTCAATTCAAATGTATCTAAGACTGTGAGGATGATGCAGGATAGGACGGAGTTCAGATCTGTTATTCTTAAGCTCTCTATGAGTTGTACTTTTGATTCAATAGTATCTAACAACAACAACAACAAAAAAAAAAAAGGCCCCAAACTGCCTGTGCACATAGCACAGCCCAAATAATAAAAAACAAGTATGAATCAGCTTAATATTTCCTATCCAAGAGTATTAAATATACAATAGACTGCTAGGAGAACAAACAGGTTTCTCCTAGAGAGGGTGAAACCTAGCTGCTCCTCAAGAGGCAAGGATTCTGAAGCTTTGTCTGACATACTTTGGACATGCTGCAAAGCAGGACCAGTCCTTGGAGAGGAACGTCATGCTTGGGAGGGTGGAGGGACAGCACGAGAGGAAGACCTTTGATGCGATGGATTGATTCAGTGACTGGGGTAATGGGGGTGGGTATATCAAAGACAATAAGATTTTCACAGGATAGAGCAGGGTTTAGGGCTGTTGTACACAGATAGGGTCGCTATGAGTCGCAGGCGACTAAATGGTACATAAAAACAACCACCAACATACAGAATGTAGGGAGCTCTGGTGGTAAGGAATTGTGCTGTCAACCCAAAAGCATATCATTTGAATCCACCAGCTGCTCTGCAGGAGAAAGATGGGCAATTTCCTCCCATGCACTTTATGGACTTTGAAAACCCACTGGAGGCCAGCTATGGGTTAGTTCCAATCCACTAGTGCTTACCACCACCACCACCACAAAAGAATGTAGCTCTGGTGGTATTATCTGTAGAGTTGTACTACTAATCCAAAGGTCAAGCCTCTCTGGCAGTTAAAATTTACCAGAAGCTCCTTAGAAGAAAGACAGGCAATCTCCTCTCATGCTATTTACAGCCTGAAAACTTCCTAGAGGGTCAGCTATGAGTTGTTCCAAATGGAGTGCAATGAAGGGTCTCTGATACAAGAATATGGGGTCAGATTTTGAGGGAGAATCATAAACCACCTTCATTCGACTGTTTACACAAGCTTGCTTGTTGAAAGTGAAGAGGCCTTAAAATATTGATAAAGATAAAAAACTAGTCTTTTAATATAGACTTAGTTCAACATCTGGAAAAGTACAATTCTCACCACAGGATCAATGAGTATCATGATAAATGGGGAAAAGACTGAAGTTATCAAGGATTTTACTTTACTTGGATCCACAATCAACCTTCACGGATACAGCAGAAATCAAATGACTTGCACTGGGCAATTCTGCTGCTAAGGACGTCTTTAAAGTCCTAGAAGCCAAAAATGTCTGACTCAAGCCATGACATTTTCAACTGCTTCATAAGCATGTGGATGCTGGACAACGAATAATGCTGACTGAAGAATGAATGTCTTTTAGTTGTGGTACTGGTGAAGAGTATTAAATATATATCAACTGTCAAAAGGACAAGCAAATCTGTCTTGGAAGAAGGACAGTCAAATGCTCCTTAGAAGTGAGGACAGTAAGACTTCATCTAACATACTGTGGACATGCTACCAGGAGGAGCCTGTCACTAGAGGAGAATATCAAGAATGGAAAGATGGATAGAGTCAGTAAAAGAAAGGAAGAGCCTCAGTAAGATGGACTGATACAATGCCTGCAACATCAGGCTTAAGCATGGAAGAGATTGTGAGGATAGAGTACAGGACAGGAAAAGGCTTTGTTCTATTTGCACAGAGTCATTTACGAGTCTATGCTGACTCAACAGCATCTAACATCACCACAACTTGAGGCAAGACATGAGGCAAACAAGGCTTGTGGCGGAAAGATCCTGGCTATAAGACTAGAAAGAAGAAATGACACTAATGTGTTTCAAGGAGTGTCTTGAAGGCAAACATTTTTAAAAAGATTCCATTTGATGTTATGCTAATAACTGCTAATGGCAGTTGTTGTTATGTGTCACTGAGGAGACTACAATTCATAGCAAACCTATGCACTATGCAAATCTGTTCTGGGTCAATCTCAGTGCCTCTGACACACCTACCCCAGTTACTGTGTCAATCCATCTCATCCAGGTTCTTCCTCTCCTGAGCCATCCCTCCACCCTTCCAACCGTGATGTCCTTCTCCAAAGACTGGCCCCTCCTGGCAACCTGCTCAAAGTATGTGCGACAGAGCCTCAAAATCCTTGCCTCCAAGGAACAGCTTGGCTTCATCCCCTCCCGGAAGGACCTGTTAGTAATTACATATTAAATAGCACGTGAGAAATTGTGCAATGTCCTTTACAAGGATTTCCATCACGAGTAGTATTATTTTCTTTATTCGGGAAACAAAGTCTTAGAGAGTTAAGTATCTCTCCCAAAGTTACGCAGCTGGTAGAGCTAGCATTCAATCCAACTATCCTGAGTTTCTACAAAGAAGTTGGTGGCAAACCAGAGGGAGGTGAAGGCAAAAAAGGAAAAAGCCACAAAGTTGACTTTAGTTTGAGTAAGAGACTGGATTGTACTATTTTTCAGAATTAGGGATTAAGGAGAAAAGAACAGACTTGAAGACAAATTATATGAATTCTGTGAAGAGCAAATTGAAGCAACTGTGAGGTACACAATTAACTCCCCTCAAATTCAACTCATTGTTGTTGAGTTGGAAAGGACACACAGCTGACCTTCCAGCAGGTTTTTGGAAACCGCATGGGAAGAAACTACCTATCTTTTCCCCTGGGAGAAAGTAGTGGATTCGAACTATCTGGATGGGAATGCAGAAGCAACATCTAAGATCCAAATGGACAAATAATTTTCAAATAAAACCTTCACTCTCACTGATCAGGAATCAACTCATAGCAGACCCCCCAGCAGGTTTTCCAAGGCTGTAAATCACATGGAAGACTCCCGGAGAGTTCTCTCTTGGAGAACTTGGTGGATTTGAACCTCTAGAGAAGCGTGACCTTTGGGTAGCAGGGCAACACCCTGTGACTATGCCAACAGAGCCTAGGAAGCTTCAAAGAGATAGACATTAAAACCATGATTTTAAGTTAGAAAGGACAGAGCAAGGCATATCCAAGGTAAAGAGACCAAGAAAAGTAGAAGGAAAACAAAGATTTCCACATCTCAGATGCCACGGGGATTGCATGAAGGAAGAGAATGCTTCACAAAGAAGGACCGCCAATGGCATAAAGGTTAAGCAAGTGGTGAACTGAAAAAGTCCAGTGGCTTTAGGGACTAGAATAAGATCTGTTTGATGCAGATGGGTTGAGATGTGTGAGAGATCAAAAATAGGGCCTTTGTTTCCAATAAGAGAATCCTGCGTATCCTTAAGAAGCAATGCAATTGCTTGGTGCAATTATTAAAACACTGATAATGAAAAGGCTCCAGGCACTCTGTGGGAGAAAGACTCTTCTGTCGATTTACAGGCTTGGAATACCTAAGGGTAGTTCTTCCGAAAGAGAAGAGCTTCATGATTCTGGTCTATAGACCAGAATCAACTAACTGGAAGATAGTGGGTAGTTCTGGAGCACACTTAAAAAAATCGACTGGAAGGATCCATAAGATCTTCGTCAGACAACTGATTTAAGACTCCACTTTGATTTTTGAGCGCGATCATACACCCCAAATGGAAGTTACAACCCCTAGGCCCAATGAAACACTTGAAAGGCCAAGCACTAAAGCTTTGAATCAAAAGGTTTCCTACTGGGAAGAGGGCAAGGAGAAGGAGAACTCTTCAGAGGCTGGTCAGGGAAAAGAAGAAGCAAATCCTAAAGCAAGACCGAGGGATGAACTCCGAATTGGAGCCCCTCCCTCAAAGGCGAAGGGGGCTCAGCGGCGCCTCTCGGGCCCGGGCCCAGCCCTGGTGGGCTAATCGGCGCGTGGAGAAGCCTCCTGCGGGGCCTGATCCCTCTCCTCTCCGACCCTTCAGCTCAGAGACGGGATCCCCCCGGAGGGGACCTGCGAGGGCAGTGCAGCCGCCCCATCTGCGGCCGCACCTGACGCCTGGATCAGGGGGAGAGGCGTACGGCCCTCAGCCGACTCGAGGATACCGCCCTTGGGGGAGGTGGTGGGTTGGCCGAGGCCAAGTCTCTGGCTTTGGGCACCGGCCAGCAGCAGGGAGGAAGCAGTCGCCGTCCCACCCTGGGCGCTGCCCGCCACGACCGATTCCAGGAAAACCCAGTTCGCGGGCCCAGCCCTCCGGCCCCCGCCTTCGCCAGGGCAACTCACCATTTTCCTTCCGGCCGTCAGCAGCCTCTCGCCTTCCCTCTGGCCCCTTTAAGAATGGCACCACAGCCGCCTCCCTTCCTGCTCCAGCGCGGGGAACAGCCTCCGTCTCTCAACGCAGCCGCCGCGGATCATCAGCACGTGATGACGGACGGCGGCCGACGCGGCTCAAAATCAGACAAGCGCCTGCTTTCTCCTTGTGCCCTCTAGAGGAAGATGTTCCTCGTAAATAAAAGTGGAATAATAGAAAAAGCTGGTTCTTGGCTTCTATTCATTTTCCTCTAGTTTCTAAGGGCCGGCCCTCCTGAAAATATGCCCAAAATATGTGAGTCGATGTTTCACCATCCTTGCCTTTAAGTAGCACCCTAGCTGCACTTCCTCCAGGGGAGATTTGTTTGTTCTTTTGGAAGGCCATATTGAAGGCTATAGTCTGATTTTCTGCATCAGGTGTTTCAAGTCATCTTCACTTCCTGTGAGAAAGATTGTGTGTCATCTGCATTGTTGATGAGTCTTCCTCCAATCTTGATGCCACATTCTTCTTCATATAGTCCAGCGTTCCTTATTTATTTGCTCAGAATACTGATTGAATAGGTACAGGAAAGGATACAAACCAGATCCACACCTTTCTTGATTTTTGAAACACATTGCGCTCACTTTTTCTGTTGGAATAATTACTTCTTGGTCCACGAAGAGGTTTCGCATGAGCAAAATTAAGTGTTCTGAGATCCTGACTCTTCTAAAATTAATTTAGCTATAATTTGTTATAATTCACACAATAAATGCCTTTGCATAGTCGACAAAACACTAGTAAACATCGCTCTGTTATTCTCTACTCTTGGCTGAAATCCATTTGATATCAGCAATGATATCCCTCATTCCATGACCTCTTCTAAACCCAGCTTGAATTTCTGGCAGTTCCCTGTTGAATTGCTATTCCAGTAGGTTTTTTAATGATCTTAAGTAAGATTTTAATTTAATATGGTTGTTGTGTGCTGTCGAGTCGTTTGCGATTCATAGCCACCCTATGTACAAGAGCCCTAAACCCTGCTCTATCTTGTGCCAACCTCATTGTCTCTGACACACCTACTTCCATTACCCAATTACTGAATCGATCCATCTCATCAAGGGTCTTTCTCTCCTGCACCGTCCCTCAACGCTCCCAAACATGATGTCCCTCTCCAAGGACCAGTCCCTCCTTACAACATGCCCAAAGTATGTCAGAGGAAGCTTCAGAATCCTTGACTTCAAGGAGCAGCCCAGCTTCACTCTCTCCAAGACAAACATGTTTGTTCTCCTAGCAGTCCATTGTATATTCAACACTCTTCTCCAGCACCACAGCTCAAAGACATCAATTCTCTTTCTATCATCCCTATTCACTGTCCAGCTCTCTGATGCATAGCACGCAATTGCAAAGACTATAGCGTTGCTTTTCAGTACTCTGGAAATCTAACAGCCAACTTTCCCAATGCAATTCATCTCCTGATTTCCTGGCTGCTGGTACCAAGACTGTCGACTGTGGAGTCAAGCAAACTAAAACTGTTAAGTATCTCAATCTCTTCACCACCCATACTGAAGCTGCCAATTTGCCCAGAGGTGAGAGTCTTTGTTTTCTTGATGTTGAGCTTCAATCCATATTGAAGGCTGCAGTTCTTGACCTTCTGCAGCAAGCGCTTCAGGTGCTCTTCAGTTTCAGCAAACATTTACAGACATTTAGTTTTAACCCAGTGGTTCAGCAAAAAAAAAAAAAAACCCCAAACAAAAAACCGGAAGATCCTTAATGAGATGGGCTGACATGATCATGGCTGCAACTAAGGGCTCAAGCCCAGCAGTGATGCAAGATCAGGCGGGGTTTCATTCTATTGCACATAGCATTGCTATGAGTCAGAACCCATTTAATGGCATCTAACAACAACTACACCTAACAAATTATATAGCTAATGTTGAGAAGAATCAGGAAGATTCAAAAGAAGGTGGAGTCAATACATAGACACTATACCAAAAAGAATTGGCTTTTTTTTTTAATTTTTGAAAAATTTTAGGAAGTGCCATATGAACAAGAGACAATGGTAATGAAGGAAGAAGATGAAGACATCAAAGCATTGGCAAAAAAATCAATAGAATATGATACCAATTGACATGTTTAATCTAACAGATATAGCCCTGGATGTGCTCACCAGTTTATGCCAGGAAATTTGGAGGACAGCTGCCTGGCTGACTGGCTAGAAGAGAGATCCATATTTGTTCCCATTCCCAAGAAAGGTGATCCAATAGCATGTGCAAATTATCAAGCAATACCTTCAATATCACATGCAAGCAAAATAGTGCTTGAGTTCATTAAAGAATGGCTAGAACAGTACATAGAAAAAGAATGGTCAGAAGTTCAAGGAGGATTATGAAGAAGCAATGGCAGCAGGGATATCATTGACGATTTCAGATGGATCTTGGTTGAAAGTAAAGAATAACAGAAAAATGCTTTATTTACTATGAAAGGAATGTGGCTGTGTGAACCATAACAAATTATGGCTAACACTGAAGAATGGGAATCCAGAACAATTAATTGTGCAAAACCTATTGATAGACCAAGAGGCTGTTGTGCAAACAGAGCAAGAGAACACTATGTGGTTTAAAATTAAGAAAGATATGCTTCAAAGTTGTATTCTCTTTTCATACTTATTTAATTTGTATGGTGAGTAAATTATTTGAGAAGCTGGACTCTTTGGAGAAGAATGTTATATCAAGATAGAAGGAAGACTCATCAATAACCTGTGTTATGCATATGACACAATATTGCTTGCTTTATGTGAGGAGGACTTGAAGCATTTGCTGCAGAAAATCAAACACTGCAGCTTCCCACATGGATGGTGTCTCAACATCAAGAAAACAAAAATTCTCATCCCTGGACCAACAGACAGCATCATGATAAATGAAGAAAAGATTGAAACTGTAAACAACTTCATTTTATTTGGATCCACAATCAATACCTTCGGTACCAGCAATCAGGAGATTAGGAGACATATTGTACTGATAGAGTCTGAAGTCAGGGACCTCTTCACATTATTGAAGAGCAATGATAATAGTTTGAGGACTAAAGTATGCCTAATTCAGACCATAATCTTTCCAATCTTTTACTATGCATCTATAAACTGGACAATGAATAAGGATGACAGAAGAATAATTTATATATTTGAGCTGTTGTGTTGAAGAAGAGTACTGAATGTGCCTTGGAATGCCAAAAGAACAAGCTAATATGTCTTAGAGAAAGTGCAGACAGATTGCTGTTTGGAGGCAAAGATGATAAAGCTTCATTTCACATACTTGAGGAATGTTGCTAGGAGAGGGTATTCCTTAGAGAGGAACATAATGCTTAGAAAGGTAGAGGGTTAGCAAATGAGAAGACTTTCAACTAGATAGATTGACACAGTGACTGCTGCAATGGGCTTGAGTGTCAAAAATTGTGAGGATGGCACAAGATAGGCCAAGGTTCAGATCTATTGTCCATAGAGTTGTTATGACTTGTAGTAGACTTAATGGCTCCTAACAATAACAACAACTATGGATGTATCTACTAAATCAGAAATTCTATCTATTGAAATGAGGTTTGGAAATGTCATTTTGGGTGGTTTATTTCAGGGGGGGAAATGTTTCATATTGTTTCCAAGTACTTTTTCTGTCATAAAAATAGCCCTTCAAGTGCTCTATAAGAATAAATTAAAAAACTCAAGAACTCATCAATGTTAAGCTGTGTTGAGGTTATGAAAGTGTATGTTGTCTCAGGGAGAGTTTTAACCAAAATACAAGATTCCAGATAATTAATAATGGAGTATTCAAATAAAAACAAACTAATGTCAGTTTAAACAAAACCGTTATTTTTCTATTTGTAAGTTTGCTAAACCTTGTTTGTATTTTTTCCATTTTCCTTCATTGACCAAATAGTTACTAAACGCTCATTAATTGATCAAATTCTAGTCAGTGTACTGAAGATTATCCAAAAACAACTGAAACAACACATCAGCAGAGAACTGCCAGAAGTCCAGGCTGGGTTTAGAAGGGGTCGTGGTACTAGGGATATTGTAACTAATGTTAGATGGATCTTGGCTAAAGCAGGGAATACCAGAGGAATGTATATGTGTTTCATTGACTATACAAAGGTGTTTGACTCTGTGGATCATAACAAACTGTGGCTGAATCTCAGAAGAATGGGAATCCCAGAACACTTGATCGTGCTAATGAGAAACCTATACTTGGACCAAGAGACAGTCGTCAGAACAGAGCAAGGAAACACTGCATGGTTCAAAATTGGGAAGGGCGTGCACCAGGGATGTGTCCTGTCTCCATACCTTTTCAACCTGTATGCAGAACAGTTTAGATTATCTAGGAAGCTGGGCTCTAGGAGGAGGAATGCGGGGTCAAGATTGGTGGAAGATCTATCAACAATCTGCGTTATGCAGATGACACAACCCTGCTTGCTGAAACTGAGGAGGACCTGAAGCGCTTCTGCAGAGGGTCAAGGACTGCAGTCTCCAATATGGATTGAGGCTCAATGTCAAGAAGACAAAGATTCTCACCACTGGATCAATTGGCAGAATCAGGATGGATGGTGAAGAGATTGAGATTGTTCACAGCTTTAGTCTGCTTGGCTCCACAGTCAACACTCTCAGCAACTGTAGCAGGAAATTAAAAGGCGTATTGCTATGGGAAAGTGTGCTCTTAGGGACCACTCCAAAGTATTGAAGAGCAATGGTGTCTCTCTGGAGACGAAGGTGCGTCTGATACAGGCCATGGTCTTTGCAATCACTTGTTATGCATCAGAGAGCTGGACAATAACTAAGGAGGATGGAAGGAGAATTGATGCCTTTGAGCTATGGTGCTGGAGAAGAGTATTGAGGGTACAATGGACTGCTAGGAAAACAAACAGATTCATCCTGGAAAGGGTCAAACCGGGCGGCTCCTTGGAGGCAAGGATTCTGAGGCTCCATCTAACATACTTTGGACATGTTGTAAGGAGGGACCAGTCGTTGGAGAGGGACATCATGCTTGGTAGGGTGGAGGGATAGCACAG